GGGGGGCTGAGCCTGGGGACGCCCCAGGGCGCCGGCCCGGGGCAAGGACGGTCCGCAGCCAGCGCGTAGCTCACCTGTCCTTCCTCCTTGCACACCTAGCTACCAAATTCTCCGCTCTGCTGAAGGTGGCGTTTAGAGAAAAGCCCGAGCAGGTTTTCAATTTAAATACTACACTCTCAGGCATCTGTAATTTCCTTCTCCAAAGTCACAAAAACCTGACATTTCAGACTTGACAGAAATGCAAGGACAAAACCGCTGAAAGTTAAAAAAGTAAAATCCTTCCCAATTAATGCCAATTTCACCCCCTACTGATGTTGCTGCATTTACCTAGTTTCTGTATTAAGCGTGTATTGTTTCTAATCAGAGGATAAAACTTATATTTTAAAAATTCTTCCACCCTGGCACATCCTAAGGACAGAGTTTCATATTCTCTTAAACCGGGAACCAACTCACCCACCCCCCAGGCACGGCTAGATCATGCAAGGGGGCATTCATGCCTTGCTTTCGGAGCTGCATCAATAACAAGGAGATGAATAATAAACATCTTCTTTGAAAATGTTCCAGATGATTGAAAACAAGTTGTTTTTTCTTTCTACTTAAGGGTCTAATTGTAAAGAGAAACATAAAACTTCAGGAAACGTATCCCAAGATGATTTATTTCATTCTAGAGATTTCTCATTGGAAGGATACCTTGATTTACTAATTTCTGAAAACTAAAAAAAATTCTCCTTGAATAGTATTAAAATTTCACAAAGGCTTCATCTTAATGTGAGATTAACCTCAACAAAAAAAATGCTAAGACCCGATTCTATAGGTAAGCAGGCATGTTCATATGGTTAGAGGAAAGCAAACTGGTACAATGTAAGGATGTACATAAGTATATGCACATATTTAAAATTAGGAACAAAATTACTAAGTTACTAAGGAAGAGAAAATATTCCAACTTTATTCATGTCTATTTAAATCTCTCCCAACATTATCCTACATCTGGACCCAGAGCCATTTATCCTATTCGTTCAATATTCACTGAGAGTACTGCCTCCACACGGCCAGCAGTGATCAGGCACTGGGCACATAACAGTAAGACAAGATCACTTTTTCGAGGAGGCAGAGTTTGCATATCCAAATACTGAACACAAGCCTTCATTTAACATATTCACATTTAATTATAGCTTGATTCCTTTCTAGCTAGACATATGTCCATGTTACATATTAAAGCTGAAAGGGGATAGATAGCTTATAGTTTCACTTTAAGCCATGCAATACTTCAAAATATAGGAAGCGCTCATTAAAACCTTTAAGTTAAATTTATACTGAATAGTTCCTGGAACCACAGTGCCAAACAGGCCTGGTTATCTGTACACATGACATCAAGACTCTACGTCACTGACACATTCTTAAAATATAGGACAGTGAATACAGAAATCAATCTGAATGCTTTGAGGTTGCCTGTGGTCCACCCACAACCCAAGTCAGCCTGTCACAAACCATGACAAGCAACATTTTTACCAACCAACCAATTAAGCATTTACTAACCCCTGAATAGGAGATTCAGGTTGATTACAACATACCAGGACAAGAACATCTAGGTTAATAAGTAGAGAAAGTTGGTTAACTTTTCTTCCAAATGTCCTTCTCTTCAGTTAAGAGAACATACGGAGGGAAGTCCAAGGCAACTAAAACTTTTGCCAAGGAGAGAAAAACCTGCTCACACTGATTTTTCCTTGAGTTTCCCAGATCTATTAATTCGAGGAGGTATTAGCAGCCATTTCAGAAATAAGAACTGTGGGCGAGCAGGAAAACCTGTACTTCTACTATCTCGTTATACCTGTTCTCAGGTAAACACCCTTGAGTCTTCAGCATGAACGGCTACTTATTGTTCGTAAGCAATGAATTTACTACAAAAACAAGCACTATTTGTTGAAGACTAGTAAAATAATTCTAAATATTGGTCAGTACTGTTTTTACACGTGGGTCTTTACCGAGTACACATATTAGCTTAGAATATAAAGGCAATATTAAGTCATCAGTAAGACATACAAACCTTGAACTTTTTTTTTTCATATTCTCAATTTTTTCTCATGAACATACTAATTACAAGATGTAATAAACTATTTTCTCATTTAACCCCACTTGTGAATAAAGGCACATATTTGTAAACTAGTTGTGAGGAGGGCTGTGGTAGTCTGTGGCCCTAAACAGACTTAACAGGCCTATGTGACGTTCATGTTCTAGCTGCTTACACAACTCACATTTTCCACATTATCGCTGATTCAAAGCAAATGAGATTCATATTTCAAACTTAGAAGTTACATTCCTTTTAAAGTATATTTACTCAGTTACTATTATAAGATAAAGACTGATATGTTATGCCCAATGTCCCCGTTATCCAATGTGAAACAATTACTACTTAAGGTAACTATCACTTACTGAACTTCTACTTTCTGGAAGAGGCTTTATAAATACCGTATCAAGTCCTCACAAGAATCTTGCAAAGCAGATATTGATATGCCCCCTTTACATACAAGGAAACCAAAGTTAAGCCAAGTCCAAGGTCACACAATTAGTGAGTGGCAGATCTGGGATTGCAAGCTGCTTCTGTGTCGACGGCCCACAGTCCATGTTTTCTTCTATACTTTGCAACTTTAGCACTCTCTCCCAAGGATTGTATCTTACTCAGGGAAAATAGAAAGAAAACAAAACAAAAAACCACAGGCAACATCCTCATGAAATTTCCTAAACAAGAATTTCAACAAATTTAAGATTTGAAAAAGACACATCTATCAGCTTTTATACTTTACATCTTAATGCTTCACAAACCATATAGTCCACTTAGTCACCCTTATACGTTTAGCTCAGGCTTTAAATAAGTGGGCATTTTCTCCTGCTGTGTGAAATCATTTCTGAACATGGTGTAAATTGTTGTCTTATTTTTAAAATATTGTCACAAATACACAGATGCCTAAACAATAGATTCAGCTTAAGTTTTCTTTTATAGAAAGGGTTTCATGCTCTTTACAACCTTCTAAGACTTTCCCTCAATATTGTGTTTTCTAAGATTCATCCACACTGTAGTGTGGTGGCTGTATTTATCTTTTTGACTACTGTATTACAAGGTTATTACCTTATAAAACAATTTTCTGATCCATTTCCATGCTGGTATTTGGGTTATTTCTAATTTTTTCATTTTAAATGATATTATGTAGATACGTTTCAGAAATAGATTTCTTGCAGGTATGCCCATTCTTCCTAACAGGTTTGAGGGTAAGAGACCATTTCACTTATTTCTTTTGTAGTTAGTCGTCTCCTATTCTGCACACAACGGTGCTTCTTAAAATTTGTCAACCTGTGCAACTAAATCAGTCTGTAAATCTCACAAGTTACATTTCCCATTGCTTCTTGGATCACGGTTTTAAAATCTAAGAAGAAAACCTCATTTTCCCCTCCTCCCCTTCCACTAGTTGCTATTAGCACAAAAGGGTTTCCTTGATAAACTATCGTGATAATGACATTGGTGGAAAGCCCCGGATGTTTTGCTAAATTATAAGATTATTCAATGGCTCGATCATGATTTGTTTACATGCTCTAGTCCTCCCTTCCTCCCTCTCTCCTCCCTCTCACTTCCTTCCCTCTTTCAGACAAAAATCTATTGTGTTTACCTCTGATGCTGCTAATATTTCTACAATTTTAGTTTATACACTTGGCAGACTCAGTACTAGTTTGTAGATATTTACCAAGGATGGCAATAAGTACTTTAAAGTGATTACAACTGAGAAGCTGAGTTAGTATTTTGTTAGAAACAAACACCACCAGGAGTATTACAATGCATAATCTTGTTAGTTGCTAAAATTAATCAGAATAAGACTAGAAATAACTCCTACCTT